CGTGCGCCGCGTCCCAGCCTGACGGGACTCGCCTCCGCGGAGGGCTGGCCGTGCCCGCTGAGGGAGGGGGAGAACATTGCCGGCTGCTGCGTTCACTCTGCGGTGGGGCGTGTGTGGCAGAGTTTCAAAGGCGGTTGGGACGGGGCGCTGCGCACCAAAGGACCAAAATTGTTTGAGGTGAGGCGGCGTGTCGTGTTTGGGGCGCCCGGGGATGGCGGCCTCGGTGGTGGACGAGTGCCTGTCCCTAATCCCCTCCACCGGCCACTGCACCGCGATGAGTGCCCGCTCCACTTTGTTCCCTGCTGCCTCGGAGGCGAGTTGGCGGACGTGTTCGACACGGCCACGCAAACGGCGACAGGGCACGAGGGCGGGCTCGGTATCCGAAGGCGTGTGAAGGATTCGTCGTGGCGGGCAAGAGGGTGTGTGTTGTCTACGATGCGCCAGAGGAGGGAGCACCGCTGCCGTGGGTAAACTTATGGCCTTGTGGGTGGGGCATGATTGCGTGTTGGTGTCCGCAAAGGGAAATAAATCGAGAACACTGGCGATGCGACTGCATCTCTGCCTCGCCCCACGATGCGCTGCCGCGACGAGGAGGAGGCGACGGCGACGTGTGCCCGGCGGACGCGCGCCATCATCCCGCGCAGGAGCAAAAGAAGTAGTGGGAGGCGGTCGCGGGTCGCATGCAGCTTGTCGGCCCGCTGCCGCGTGGCATCTTCAGTGCGGCTGCGTTCGATGGGCGTCTGCGGCGGGTGACGGCGCCCTGCAGGCGTCTGACGCCCCGGTTGCCGAAGACGACTGTGCTCGGGAAGGCGCGAAACTGTGGGGTGCGGGGAATCCGTTTCGGAGGCCTGTGAAAATTGAGCGGGAGTGTGGCGCACAAGGTGCGGAGGCCGTGCGCTACACAAATGTGTGTTGCCTCTTTGGATTTTCGAATGGGGACACGTTTGTGTGTGGGGCTTCTGGACCTCAGCGAGTGCCTCTCGCGGTTACGGCGTGCCGCTCGCCTTCCTGAAAGGCTCCAGAAGCCGCGTGCCCCGGACCCACTCACACACACACACGCTGGGGGAGGAGGGCTTTTTGCGGGTGGGGCAGAAAAAAGAGGGAGGGGCTCGCGGGGCTGCGGCCGCCAACGGGACGGCAGGCAAGGCGCTGCGTGTTGCGGGTGGGCCCGGCGTCGCGTCCCGGGGAGGGGATTGGAGATGTGGGCGCCGCAGGAGCCTTCAGGCTGAGAGGGTGGACGCAACGTGCGGGGAGCTGCACGGGGGCGGCGACCGAAGACGCTCTGCTCTTGGGCGCCTCCTTTTTTTTTTATTGTTTTGTGGGTTCTCCGAGGGCGGGGGAGGAGTTTGTTGGGCTGCGGTTTGCTGCGGCGGATGCGCATCACAACACTACCGCCAGCGCGGCGCAGCAGCGGCCCGGTGAGTGAAGGACGAGGTGTATATTTTCACCGGTTGGGAAAACTGTTACTGGTGAGTGTTGGTGGGGGGTGTTGTTTGCGTGCGGCGTGCAGGGAGAACACTCCAAGGCAGCACGCGGCGCGGAGGTGCCGCAATTCCGTGGGTTTGGGCGGCGGCGTTGGGGGGAAGTGAGCAGCGGAGTGCGGCAGCGGACTGCGTTTCTACGGAAGTGCTGGAAGGGACTATTTTTTTAAAAGTATATATTTGTGTGTTTGTGTGTTTATTTACCTGCGGGCACGAGGCACAGCCGGCGGGCTGCGCTGCTGCGGGGAGAAGGAGGCGCCGTGCCCCGTGGTGCCTCGCGGCAGCACTGTTTTTTAGCTTCACGTTGTGTTTCTCCCAAATGCCCTGGCACCGCCAAAGACGTCTGCGTGGGGCGGGGGCGGGATGAATTTCTTTTCGTGCGGCTGCGGGGCGCTGTTGCGTGAACCTCGTGGGCTGCCGCCTTTTTCGTCCTTCCCTTCCCCTGCCCTCACTCTCTGCGCCGCACCCCACCGCGCTCCTCGTTTCTCTCTCTGTTTCTTCTTCTTCGCTGCCCGCAGCCCACTGGCTCTACTGCGGCTCTACTGCCACCACCACCACTGCTGTTTTTACTGATGGCGCTGGCGGTGCGGCGCCGTGCGGTGTGCGCCCTGGCGCTCCTCGCGCTGCTCTGCGGCTCCGTCTGCGGGGCGGGAACTGAGGAGTCTCAGAAAACCGGGGATGTGAATGTGTCGGTGGAGGTGTCGTGCCCGGACACTAACGGCATGTTGAGTTGGCGCGTTGCCGGCGAGAAATCTTCCACTTGGAGGGAGTGTCCTCAGGCAGTGAAGGATTTTGGGAGCAGTGGAGGCGCTGCTGGCAGCAATTCTCTCTGCATCTTTGCCTGTTCGATGTACCTGGAGAAGTTCACGACGGGGGGCTGCTCACCATCCACCACAGATGGAGACACGAATAAAGTTGTTGCGTTCACGATGAACTGTACGGCGGCCGAAAGCAGTGCGCTGCACAATCTGTCGAGGAGCGAAGATGGCAACGTCTCCATCAATCCAACGGAGGATCCACTTGGCGGGTCTGGCGGTTGCGAGTTCTCAACCTTCGGTCAACCCGCGGCTGAAGTGCGGTCTGAACCCCAACAAACTCCAGGACAACAGCAACCAACAGATGCAGCAGCAGCGTCATCTGCAGCGCAAACTCATGACGGAGCCCGTGCGGGGAATGGGGGCTCCACTGCTACTGTTGGGGGGCAGCCAGGCGGTGCGGAGGGAGGCGGAAGTCGGGGGCCATCGGCAGAGGGTCCTCGGGAAGTTACAACTCCATCGGTTGACACTGCGGCTTCGCCAACACAGACGGCAGGCGACAGGGCAGCAGATGGAACGACGACGACGACCACCCGCAGTCCGAGTGCTGGGAGCCACGCGGACATCAGTGTCGCCATCGCCACTGCGTGGGTGCGTGCCCCACTGCTGCTGCTGATCACGGCCGTCTTTGCTTGTGCCGGTGGGTAAGTGGTGAGAAGCAACCGCAGACACGCACACCCTGGCAGGGGCGACGCGTACGCTTTTTGTGTGCTCATTTTGGTTGTCGTCCCTGTGGGTCAGTCCTTCACTCTCCCTCCTGTGCTTTGAGGGATGGTTTATTTTTTTTACTGCTTCGCCACCCCATGCACGTTCCCATGGGCGGCGCACCCTTTTCCCCCTCCTGTTTGCTGCCGTCACACACACACGCGTTGACGGCCTCGTTGCTGTGCGCCGCACTCACTGCCCAAATGAGGCACGAGGCCGCTGCCACCGTGAGGTGAGTGTGAGTGCGGTTGAGTGTGCGTGGGCTCATGCAGCATGGGCGATGTTTTTTCTTCGTGCAGGTAATAAAATATACACACACACTCCCTCACGGCCCTCTTGTGCTGCTGGACACGTGAGGCGAAGAAGCACAAACTGCCGAATTGATTTCTTTTTGTTATTATTTTGGGCTCCTGCGGGGATTATTCACATCTCTTCTCCGTCTCTTTTCTTCTTTTGCGACCTGGGCGATGCCCGCCGCTGCCGCCGCCGTGTGGGGTCGCGCCGTTCTTAAATACTCCTTCTGCCGGTGTGCCGACGCGTCTCTGCGCTGTCTTCCTCTCTTTTTTCTTCTACTTCTCCTCCCGCACACACGCAGAAGGAAAGAGGCCAAACGCTGCTCGTTGCCACTGTGCGCTTTGAAGGCTCCGAGCTCCCACACCGCACAAACACACATAACCGTCGCGGCCTGAGCGGATCCACCGCTGGGAGGGAAGGGAAGAGAGAGAGAGATCGATCCAACATGCCCCGGCATTTGTTTTCTTCTGCGGTGCCGCTGCTTCTTTGCGTGTTGGTGTGCGGCAGCAGTGGTGCGGCTGCTGAAGTTCAGGGTGGCTCAACGACGGCAGTTACCCCATTCCAAGGGACGAGGGAGATAAGTGTCAAGTGGGAATCCAGTCAGTCGGCCACTTCCCTCCGTGTCCCCAGCCTTGTGGAGGTGGGCGGCGAGGTGTTTGCCGTTGCCGCGGTTCAGTGCAGGAAGGAAAGTGGGTGTGGAGTTGACTGCTTTACTGGCATTGCGTCGAAGCACCTCAAGAAAAGTGAAGATTATTCCACGGAGATGTTGGCAGCCGATGCAATTCAGTTCGACACGCAGCTGCTGAGGGAAGGGAAGGCTAGTGGGGGCGAGGCGAAGGACGTAATGCGGCCAACAACACTTGTGCGGGGCAACGAGGTCTACATGCTGCTGGGAAAATACAGCCGCCCACCGGCTGCGGCTCAAGACGCAAACCACTGGGGGCTGTTGCTGGTGCAGGGGACTGTGACTGGAAGCGGCGACGATAAGAAAATCGTGTGGAGTGAGACCCGTGCGGTGGATGCCGCATCTATTGGGTTTCATGCCTCCTTGACTGAGTTATCTGGCGGCGGGGGCTCGGGTCTTGTGCTGAGTGACGGCACGCTTGTGTTCCCCATGCAGGCAATCAACAGGGAGAAAAAGAGCGTCTTGCTCGCCTTTCGCTTAGCCCCGTCGAAGAAGAAGTGGGAGCTTTCATCCGGTACGACCGGTGCGGGCTGCAGGGACCCGTCCATCGTGGAGTGGGGGGAAGACGGAAAACTCCTCGCGATGGCTCCCTGTGCGCGGGGCTCGTACGACGTCTATCCGTCAACTCCCCGTGGTGTAGCTTGGTACACGACAGGCGAGCCGATTTCCCGCGTGTGGGGCACCTCGCCGAACCGTCAAGGAGGGGACGGCGTGCAGAGCGGCTTCGTCACCGCGGAAATAGAGGGAAAAAAGGTGATGCTCCTCACCACGCCGGTGTACTCGGAAGAGGAGGAAGGCGCCGCAAAGGGAGCGCTGCATCTTTGGTTGACCGATAATTCCCGCGTGCACGATGTTGGGCTGGTGTCCGCTGCCGGTGATGACGCCGCTGCCAGTTCCCTGCTGTACCGAAGCGGTGCGCCGGCGGA